GGACTCCAGAGCTGAACGCAGTATTCCAGGTGGGGTCTCAGGAGAGCAGAGCAGAGGGGCAGAATCACCTCCTTCATTATATTTTTTTATATATATATGAATATAATGAAGAAATATACCTATAATCACAAAATCATATATCTATATATAAAATGTTCTCTACCCAAGTAATGTTTTTTGAGTTTGCTTCGTTTTCTTTTTAAAGCTGCAAGTAGTTAATGGCTACGAATTCAGGTGACTGCCAGTTGGCTGGGTCTTTTTCTATTTTAAACCAGCTCGATTTGAGGTTTGAAGGGCTTAATGAACCGAAAAGGTTACACTGGCCACTGTCAGAAAATGAAAACCAATCCCACGCTTTCTGCATTCATCTAAAAAGCCAAATTCAAGGTGTTCTGAGAGAGGGCTGTCAAAATCAGGTGAGAAAACAAGTAATGTCTGTGTTTCTCTTGCAGTCGCTTGCTGACAGAGTATCAACAGAAATGCACTGATATCCTTTGCTTTTGTACTCGTGTCCTTACAAAATTTGTGTATCAGCAGTTCTTGTAAGAGGGTTTGAGGCTTTTTATTTAAGGTTTGATTTGAAAAATTTCAGATTTATTTAAGTAGATGATAGCTGTAGTGAAGAACGGACCGGCTAGGGGGCGACTCAGGTTTTCTCACATAACAGAATAAGCTCTGCTTGTTTAGTTCAAGTGTATTGAAACGTTTCAGTTAAACACTTAGTTCTGCAACTCCTGTGGTTTTTTGGGTGGAAGTCGTTCTTGGATGTTCCTTTCCCAGTGGCGATTGGGCTGAAATACATGTGAAGGCGTCTGATAAGCTGCTCTGAATTCCTGCCTTAACGAGAGATTACAGCTTCAGTTTGCTGAACGGTAAGTCTGATTCTGTTTGCTGGAGACGCCGTGTTCTCTGCGTCTGGGATGGTTTTAGGAGTCTGACGTTGGACCAGCAGCAGCCCTGGGGCTGGGCTGAGGTTCTGATACAGTCCTTTCCCGTGCCATGCTTCCGAGGCCACCCTTGAGGCTCATCTTTTGGTGGTCGTTCAAGATCAACGTGTTTTGTTTGAAGTGTTTGGTCTCAGTGTTGTGGCTGCGTGCCCTTGCTTCCTCTACCTTATTGTAGGGGAAGAGGCAGTACATGATCTTTATGGCCTCCATCCTGTGAGCTGAACAGTCCTGCAGTTGAACCATGCTCTTATTTCACAGTGCACCTCTGTAGCACTTCAGCGTGAGCAGCTGGGTGTTACTGCTGGGTGGGCCATGCCATCTACTGGGACCTGGCTTTAGGCTCAGTTTCAGATCTTGAATTCACTTTGTGTGTAAGGCGTTGGATGGAAAAATGAGAACACTTAGACTCTTAAAAGTTTCTCCGGAAGGAAGCGGGGAACCTGGCTACCTGAGATATGGAGAAGGCTGAGGTTCTCAATGACTTCTTTGCCTCAGTCTTCACTGGCCAGAGCTCCAGCTGCACAACCCAAGTCACAGCAGGCAAAGGCAGGGACTGGGAGAATGAAGAACTGCCCACTGTAGGAGAAGATCAGGTCCGAGAACATCTAAAGAACCTGAAGGTGGACAAGTCCATGGGACCTGATGAGGTGCATCCGTGGGTCCTGAGGGAACCGGCAGATGAAGTTGCTAAGCCACTATAGAATCATAGAATGGTTAGGGTTGGAAGGGACCTCAAAGATCATCTAGTTCCAACCCCCCTGCCATGGGCAGGGAAACCCTCCACT